TACACACACACACACACTACTACTCTCTCTCTCTCTCTCTCTCTCTCTCTCTCTCTCTCTCTCTCTCTCTCTCTTGATTTTTCTCAAATATACATTGTACAGAATTTATTCGTTATATGCTCAGGAATCGTTCTCATCACCGGATAATAATTATCTTTAATAGGATCTAGTGTACTTGGTATTCATAAATTTCTTCGAATGTTTGAAATTTCAATCCTTTTTTTTGTCTTTCACTAACTATCATTCTTTATAAACATAAAATAAAGTTAAAATTTCGTATCTTTAACAATTACACATGGCCTCGTGGCCATTCTTGAATTTTGAGGTTATAACGAGTAAATACTGAATTATTTCGATCTGTCATTCTGTCTCTTTTGTCTCTTTTTTGTTTTGCGGACAAACAAAAATTTTGATACACAAATGTAACACAAATATTAAATTGATGAAACGAAATAAGAATCAGAAGAAGTTAAAATGGAAAGCAAGCCTAATGCAGCTCGATTCCAAACTATTAAAAAACACTTTGCTTTGTCTCTTCTTGCATGTATAATTCACAAAGGCAGTTTTATAAATACTCTTTGTCGATATTTGCTTTGCTTCTTCGGACATTTCATCCAATTATTTTTCCCCATTCTTTCTTTCGCAATATCGTCACACATACTCGTCGCATCACGCACTATGTAGTACAGTTCGGATAAGTAAATCATACTTACATGAAAACAGAATTCACCGTCCGTCATTCGCAAATCATACACGCATGCGCACACATACGTCATTTATATTTCATAATTATTTTCTTTTGAATAGATCGTATATGTACATGTATATATATATATATATACATATACAAGCTGTTCGCAAATCGGTACAATTTCGATTATAGTTAAAATATGATTGATCGCGAATTTATATTATACCTCAATGCCGTGATCGTCGTGACGCCTCGTCGTAAATGTCTTCAAGTAAACTCTTCCCTACTTCGCATGTTCTTTATCTTTGCTCTTGCTTTTCTTCTCTTTTTTTTTTTCATTCCTTTTCCTTCCGCAATTCTTCTCCGTTTTTAAGAAGTCTCATATGAATTGTTATAGGCTCCTTACAGACTCGAGAAGAAATAGAATAAGAAGAAGAAGATAAAGAAGAAGAAAAAGAAGCTCCACTAGGCCGAGCGAAATCAAGCGCGCACGATCTTTTTCTCTTTATCGTTTCTTTTTTTATTTTTTTATTTTTTATTTTCGCTTTTCTTTTTTACTTTACTAGCCAATTTTGTTAACTAGCTTTTGTTTTTAATTCAGTTTACGTCAACGATTTCCTTCGGATTTTTATCATTCTCTCGTTTAAAATTTTTATCACGTTTCTATTCCAATTTAATCGAACATAGCTCGCGTGGCGCAAATTGTTCCATTGTAAAAAGGAGGAAAAAAACAATATGTGCTGATGTGTTTTTTTTTTTTTGTTACTGGCACTGATCATCTCGAGAAGATTATTTCTTTGACTCTTTGTTCTTCTCGCGAATATTTTTCTTCAATATTGCAACAATATTCAAGGGGAAAACGACGAATCGTGACAAAATTAATTTCTGTGCGTATCATTCAGTCATGAAAGAGAGAACGCAAGAATTTCCGCCTGCGCTGGCAGTGTTTGTTTCCTCTAAGTCAAAATTCGAAAAATAATTTCTTGATTCAATATCCATATAATCATTATTTTTCTAGAACAATCAACAAGATTAGCCTCATAACTTAACCTCAATTTTTCAAAACGAATCCGTTTACGATTCGAAAGCTAGAATTAATCACTTTTATTTCGAATTTAAAGCCGGGATACAATCGAATCAAGAATATTTTTCAACAAAAAGATGAAAAATATCGTCTAGGAAGAATAATATCGAATCAACAATTGCAAAGTATTGCACGAGTGTGAACAGAATAATTTTTTTTTTGTATAAAATAAATTAAAACTTACAACGATAGAAATCATCATGCAATATTTTCTAATATTTTCTAATTATTAATTCAAGTTTCTAATCAATATTAAGTTTCTATCAATATAAATTATAAATATTTATAATATTTATTGAATGATCTCGACTTCTTCTTCCTATTCGTAAAATTATCATCGTTAACCCTCTGCGCTCATGTAAAACGAGGCAACTAAACATCGATATAAATTTCCAACTCCAATCCATTTTCCAATCCAAATTTTGAATTATAAACAACTAGAAAGCGTTTTTTTAATATTTTCACGTTTCACTAATCGAATTATATATTTATATAATTTCTAAAACGTAACAAAATATATGACTTGAAGTCGTATCTTATTCTCGCTAAATACATTCAACAATAATCGATACATTTTGAAAAAAATGAACTTGAAATTCACAAAAAAAAAAAAAAAAAAAAAACAATTTAACAGATAAATATATTTCCAACAACTTCTTTTTCTTATTCTAAAATTTAACCAAAAAACTCTCTTGTCCAATGATTCATCAATTAATAATAATCGACAAGTATTGAAATTGTAGGTTATAAATTTTTTCTTTTACAATTTTACAATTTTAAATAAAATAACTTAGATAACTTGTAATTTATAAGATTTATTTACAAATCTTTATTATTTATACTTTTATTACGAAATTTATTACTGTTATGGAAAATATAATAATTTACAAGGTATCGAACTAACTTGTGATTTAATCACATAACTTTCAGTTCACATAAATAATATCGAATATCACATAATAATATAATTAAATATATTATAGGTGTACAACTTGTGATCTGATAAATATTATTAATAATATTATTTCACAATTGTACAAGAGAGCCCAGAACGAACATCAGCGCAGAGGATGGAAAAAATTGAATGAATGCGAATAAATACGAAGAAAGAAAAAAATGGCGGAAAGATTGCAATACGCAAAAAATTGTATAAAGATTCGTCGTTTCCGTGATAAATTGTCGAAAATTTTATTCTCTTTTTTCTCGAAATGATCGTTGCGGATTAACCCTTATGTCAACACCAGGATATCCGGTAACAGTAAATATTTCGTAATTGGAAAAAATTCGAGGTTAACAGATGTATTAATTCTGACGTGGCGAAAGTTTGTTTACGTTTCTTGTTAAAACACAGAAAAGACACTAGCAAGTGAAAGCGAGAGTGAAAGAAAAAAAAACATACGCGAATATGTGAGATATTAGTGAATTTTTGTATTTTTGATTTTCTTTTTTTTTTTTTTTTTTTTTTTTTTTTTTTAATAGAATTTTTTTACCAATATATTTATGATTAACCAAATACGATATAATTCATTTATTTACTTAATTATTTAGATTATATCTTACTTATTTAAAATAAAGGAAAAATTTTGTTTTATCATTTATTATCAAATCAATTCAATTCATTTCGTATTAGATTTTATTTTACGGAAGAAAATTTAAATTTTAAAGAGAGAGAAGATAAATTTTTTGACAAAATTTCCATTGGAAAAAAAAAAAAAAATTAAAAAAAAAATAGACGAATCTTATCATTAATATTGTCTCATTGATATTTCTCTTGAATTGGATTACATTGCTCGCACGTTGAATCTTCATAATGAATATACATATACAATTGTAGGAGGGCACAATTTTAAAATATTTACTGTATCCACGATAAAAATTAATGTAATTATACAATATAATTTAAAATATAAATATTTGATTTAAAATATTTTATTTTCCTATCAAAATATTTTTAAATCCATCCGCATCACCGTTATTTGGTATAATTGCTACATCGATTTATATTTTCAAATATAAAAAATTGTATCGCTACAAAAATAGCCAAATCAAAAGTTTGAAACGGTGTTTGGAAATTTTCCAACATTGACATAAGGGTTAATGGGTCGCCTTTTTTTTTTTCTTTTATACAAGTCATAACGTAATAAATTTGAATGTGTTCATGTGTTGTGTGTGTATATGTGTATGTGTATGTAATTAGCAATAGCAGCAGCGGTAGTAATGATAGTAATAGTTGGTAGTAGTTTTAATTAGTTATTAGTTAATTGGTAATAGTAATAATAATAGCAATAGTAGTAGTACCCTATGAAAAAAATACATAGAAAAACACGTGTCGGTATAATATATATTTATATATAACCTTCTTTTTTTTTTTATATCACGTTTTTTTTGTTTTTCACCATTTTTGTATGCAATGCGTTTCCACGATTCTTTTTTTTTCTTTTTTTT